GTTTCCTGAAGATCCTACAAGAATCAGCCCCAGGCAGAGTAGCAGCAGAGAGGCCTCCATCTCAGATCTAGGATGCTCTCTTCTGCAGCGAAAATAAAAAGTAAGAGGTAAAACTAAGGAGAATATTAAGGAGCTAGCTCTCTTTTCCTCATGACAGTTATTCCCAGGATTGACCCCTCCATGTACCTTAAGACTCCTACATCTGTTCATGGAAGTATGATGCTGTGAGAAGACAATCAGCTGTGGAGTCTGAAGACCCAGTTTCAAATCCCTGCTTATCCACTAACAATTTACTCTACCTCATTAAACTAACCTCAGTTTCCCCATATGAAAAAAAGAAAACGTGAGAATTACATAGGATAATATGTTCATAGTACCCAGAACCAAGTCATTATTTCTCTTCCTGTTCCCCTCATCTGCAATCTCATCGGTAGGATCTGTAATCTTCGAATAGATCACAAGAATCTCACTCACAGATTCCTCACTGTGTCTCCCACAGCCTCACACAGTACCCAGCATGCACTTGAAAAAAAAACCCACAACGTTATTCTGCCCTCTCCCATTTCTTTTCCCACCAATCTCAGACATGGGATATCTGCCTTTACCAGTTTCTTTAGCAAAACTGATCCTGTAGAGAAAGCTTCCAGTTTGTTGGAGGGTCAGAGTGAAACTGGATTTGTTTCCTGAGAGTTTCTGCTATTGGGTCTAGCTGAGGGAAGGAGGGGCCAAAAACGGGGGAGGGAGAATGGTATGAGATCTAAGTAGGAGACAACGTGGAACCAAGGACACTCAGAGGACTGAACAGAATGTTCATTTGTCTGTCAGGATCCTAGTGACCTGGGCAGCACCACTCTTTCTCTTCTGTGAAATATTCCCTATTTATTTATATTTTAACCCAAAATGATTTTTTTTTCTTCTTTGAAACCCTACAGCATAGGTTATATTGCACTTCACTTTATATGGTTCTTTTTTTTTTTTAAAATATATTTTATTGATTTTTTACAGAGAGGAAGGGAGAGAGATAGAGAGCTAGAAACATCGATGAGAGAGAAACATCAATCAGCTGCCTCCTGCACATCTCCCACTGGGGATGTGCCCGCAACCCAGATACATGCCCTTGACAGGAATCGAACCTGGGACCTTTCAGTCCGCAGGCTGACGCTCTATCCACTGAGCCAAACCGGTTTCGGCTATATGGTTCTTTTTTATTTTTCAAGTTGGTTGATATATATTAGTCTTTTCTTTCTCTTATTGAGGCTAAAAATCTTTTGAGTCTGGAATATACTTCCTGCTTCTTTTATTCTGTATGGAATCAAACACTTTCACAGCAATGTTTGTTAACAACATAGTATGGCTTGACTAATGTAGAAAATTCTTTACTTTAGGTCAGTGCTGGAAAAGTCACAATGAGCTCCCAGAAAGAATGGTTATTTACAGTGATAATCCTTTATCTTGCTTCAGAAAGATCTTACTCATTTCTCTGGTCTCTAAGAGCCGCCTTCCCTTACACTTGTATCTCCTGCATTATCATACTTACTTATATCCTGATCATCATTCCTTGCCCCTCCATTCCTTCAATACACTACTTTCTAAAACACCACTTGTAATGACATTACTTCAGAAACATTCAATTATTCCTCATTGCCTATGTGAGGTAATCGAATCCCCTGAGACCACTTAGTCAAGGCTCTACTTGATCCAATCCCCTTCTCAAGGCTCACCTCCCATTATTTCGGTATGCAAGCTGGCTCTCATCAAATCAGTGTGACTCACTCCCTTTGACTGCACTCTATTCCACCTCTCCATTTCTGCTCCTTTCTGAATGCCTACTCTTTTCTGCCTCTTAAAACCCTCAGAGCCCAATTCAGATCCCATTCTTTCATTGACATATTTTCTCACTACTTAAGCTTGCCAAATTCATTTCTCACTTATATCCTGAACGTATATATCTGAACTTCTTATCACCACTTCTTTTTTTCTTATTTACTTCTCTTTTCTTTCCTTTTTATTAAATAATTCTTTATTGTTGAAAGTATTACATGTCCCCTTTTTCCCTCCATTAACCCCCTCCAGCCCACCCTTGTCCCCTGCCCCAGGCCTTCAGCACCCTATTGTCTATGTCCATCCACCCACTTCTTTTTTCTAAAAAAAAAAAAAATGTTTTTATTGATGTTAGAGAGAGAAGAAAGGACAGATAGAAACATCCATGAGAGAGAAAAACTTCAATTGGCTGCCTCCTGTACGCCCCTTAGTGGGGATTGAGTCCACACCCCCAGCATGTGCCCTGAAGGGAAATCTAACTGGTAACCTCTTGGTTCATAGGTCAGTGCTCACCCACTGAGCCAAACCGACTAGGGAGACCACCCACTTCTTATACCACACATTTGACATTAGTACACATGGACTTGTATTTTTTTTTATTATATTTCATTTTAAAATGTCCTGTATGTAAAACAAGAGCAAAGACCCAGTACCAAGAATATATAAGCCTTAATAATTGGGTTGATTGATTATTAATAGATTATTAAGAATTAAGTGGATGTGTTCATGTTTGTACCTTGAACATGGACTTGGTGTAGGTTGAGGGGAGGCTGGAAGAAGTTTTAGACTGTTTCCTAAACATCGACTGCCATCGATATAAATAGTGAGGTGATAATAGGAAAGCAGACAATAAGGAGAAAAATAAGAACAGTGTAGATTCCCAGTTTTGCTGGAGCATGTATTTCAAGTGGGCAGAAATCCCAGCTACCTGGTTTTGATTTGGGCTGCTAGGTGCCCATTAAAAACAACAACAACCCCCCCCCCACCCCACCCCCAAAGAATAAATAAATAAAAAGAAATAAAAACAACAACACCCAAACTGCAAATGTGTAAAATGTCACAATTCATTTGAATTGGGCTTTGATCCTCATTGACTCAAAATACTGTGAGGATAATTTCCATTGACAGTCTCAGTTGCATACCGACACTTTAATGGGAATGCATTTATCTGTAAAATTTTGTTTTTAATTAACAAGAGGGAGGTTAGGTGAGGAAAGGAAGAGAAATCATTGGGAAGGACAATAAAGCCTGGGGAGAGGAGTAGGAAAAGGAATCAGAATTCAGAACATAGAAATTAATAAAAACAAACACTCTTTGCTCAGTGGTGAGAGAATCAGCCTACAGAGTGAAGGGTTACAGGTTCGATTCCCAGTCAAGGCCATGTACCTCGGTTGCAGGTTCAATCCCTGGTGGGGCGCGAGTGGGAGGCAACTAATAGCGGGAGGCAATTAATTGGCATTAGATGTTTCTCTCTATATATCTATCCTCCCCCCAACCCTTTCACTCTCTAAATGTCAATGGGGGGAAAATAGCCTCAGGTGAGACTTAAAACAAAAAACTTAGAAATGGGAGCCATAAAGGACACATTTTAGCTCCTGTAAAGTTTTACCCAGGAAATAATGCTGCAACCAGGACTCTGAATCATATACTAAGGACCACCTGTTCCTGCTCAGCATCTGAAGATGCTGAAGGCCCTGGTCCCTTGGTGGCATTCCAACATCCATGAAGACAATGGTGACAATGGGTTTCTGCAGAGAAATGGGTAATGAAACTCAACTGTGAAAGGGCCACCTCACATGGGTAAGCCTTGCCCATGTCCTTGACTTACCTCTGTCACTCTCCTCCCCTCTAATCTAATCAATCAGAATTTGTTGCTTACAAAGACAGAGTTAGCAACTAGCATAGGTGTACCTCCTTCTTTGATCTAACCTTTAATTAAGTACAAATAAATAATGCAATAGTTGAAGTCTCTCAACTGAAAAGATCGGAACAGAATGGACCCTATGAAGCTCACGCATCCCTGGGGCTGCGCTAGCTCACTGTAGGAGTTCCCGGCTCTCAATTACAGAATTGAAATGTCATAGTTCAGAACTAGTTTTCCCATAACCTGGAACTTACCTGCCAAATACCCCTTCTTTCTTACTACTCCCCAGTACTAACCCTCCCTTCCAACAAGGCTGGTTTCTGTACTACTAAGAAATAGAATTGTGGTGTAATAGGCCTGGAAAGAACCTCAAAGATTATCTCGTTCAAGCTCCCTCACTTTACAGATGAGACAACTGAGGCTCAGAGAGGAAGAGGACTTCATCAAATTCCCTTCCTTCTCTTCCTTTGCCCTCTAACTCTAAAGATACGCTGCCCATCGTTGAAAGTGAAATAACTAAAGAACCAGTCCAGTTGTAAAAATTAAAAGAGGAAAAGTCCTTCCTGTTTCCTCTGGGGATGCCAAGAGGAGGTACAATGAGCTCTGAGAGTCTCAATGTCTCCCTGAGATATCCTTATCCATTTCTCTCCACAGTCTTCCAAGGAAATGGTTTCTGGCTCCTTCTGATCTCTTTTTCCCCTTTCTTTCAAGGCGCAGAGGAAGCGCTGAACAGGAGCAGCTGCAGCTTGAGTTATATATGCCATCTTTAAGAGAAAATCCTAAGAGATGACCCTAATTGCCTCTACACTTAGAACCAAGTAGGGTGGAATGAATGCAGTACTTGCTCTAGGTATGAAATTTAAGGGGCACCAAAAAGCCCAGTAATCAAGATGATATTTTTAATGTGACATTTAAGAATTAATTTAATTCAAAACAATCCCTGATGAACAAATATCAAAAATGTAAATAACAGGACTGGCCCTGCGTGGGCACAACTCATGTACTTCACTCACCCTAAATCCAAACCTGTCAGATTGGTCTTGATTTAAAATTGAGATATTTTGTTCATCAGAGATTTTTGCATTAATTTTGATTTTTAAAAAATATTCTTTATCTAGATTACTTGGGGGAGGGTGCCGCCCTTAAAATTTGCATGTAAAGTGAGTGCCTCGCTTACCTTATCCTAATCCCAGTCCTGCATAGGATTCACTCTTGGTTCTCATCAAATGACCCAAAGAAAAGGAACACGAAATTGAAACACATGCATCGTTTATGACTCAATTCGGTAGAGTTTTGTTTTTTATTGAAGCAGAGTAAGAAGATTCCAGCTCAGCCATACTGGAAGGATAAATGAGTTACTGGTGGCTACCATTTCACTTGGGCTTTCCCCCCATGTCCACAGTCAGATGTGCACCAGGAAGAACCAGCACCAGTGCCCCTGGGAGAGGAGCAGAGAGGATCTCAGATTCAGGTGCTGGTCTCAAGTTATTCAACATATTTCTGGAAGTTAACGGGCCCCATGTCATCACAAGTGACTACAATAAACCCCTCTGTGGGGGAAATGTGGTACCTGCAGGCAGGATATCTGATACCTTCAATGAGCTTACAGACTGTCATTTTGAATTTTGTCTCACTCTGGAAGCATAAAATGCTGGAATGGTTTTGGCAAGCCATCCTCTTGGGAGAAGTGCAAACACGATTGATCTGTCGAGGCCTCTCGTGGATGAAGACATGCTCCTTTTTGCAGGTGTTGTCAGGTTCCTTGATGATTCTTTCTAAGATCATGTGGTTGCAGTACCTTACAGCAATATTACTCTGAGGGTAGTCCACGTGCAAGTGTTCTATGGTTGACACCACTGTTTCTTCATACAGCTCGTTTTCCCAGAACACAATCATCAGGAAAATTATCACCATTAGTATCATCAGGGGTAAGAGTCCTTTTACATCTGTGGGTTTAATTCCTATAGAGTAAGAGGAAACAGAAAGTAGCAGAGGGTAATGACAGTCCCTCCATCCCCATCGTTTGCTCCCCCACCCTTAGGACATTTTATTTCCCTCACTCTGCTAATTCAAATCATGCTTAGCCTGCAAGATCCAAGACCTTTCTGACCATTTCAACTCTCAGAGTTTGGCACTGAAGTGATCTCTAATTATTTCCATTTGTTTTACTTCCATCAGCTCCTTGATGGCAGGTATCTGATCTTCTAGTTCTCCTGAATCTGTCAGAGAGCTTAACACAGAGACGGACAGACAGAGGTGCTCGAAAGTACCCATGCCTGCTTGATTCATTCCTGTTGCTGAATGACTTCCTTCCCATAATTGTCTCAACTCTAATTCCGCCCAATTCTTCATGCTTTTAGCACTGTCTTCTAATCTGTCCTTCCCAATTCTCCTTCTGCCAATCCCAATGGGCTCTGTCAGCTCCTCTTACCTTTCCTTTTTGCTGTAGCTTTCACAAGTAACATATCCTTGTGATCATGGATCTGAGAAAGTCCTTTGTGTCTCGCTGTTCTCTGACAATAACTGGTAGGGAGCCAGTTGAGCGTGGGGTGGGCCCAGTAGAAAGAACAGGCAGGGAGGAGCCTGTAGGGGAGTGTGCTTGGATGCCTTTGGAAAGGAAAAGACCTTAATCTTCAGAGGGAGAGTTGGGTAAGGCAGCCCTGAAAGTGTCCTCATTAAACAAGTGTACACTTTTGAAAACATTTAGTAAAGTGCTGATCTGTGCCAAACACAGCATTGTCTATTTTCCAAAATTTCATCCAGTCCTTAGTCAAACTATGAAGTAACTATTATCTCCCTTTCATTAATGAAGAAATTAATTGCTGAACAGTTCAAGTGGAGATGGGAGATGACAAGGGTAGTAAGAGTTTCACTTTCTCAATGTTTGACACTTGGACTCCAGTTTCAGTACGTTTTATTCCCATGTGGTGTTCAGGACAAGGCAGAATAATCCCCTGACATTAACATTAGTCTTAATAAAGCCCTAGAAAATATAGCAAAAATTCTTCCAGTGATTCTAATATGCAGCAAAATTTGGGAACTACTGATCTATGGTATACATTGGAAACCTACATGGAAAATTGTGGACAAGGGCTTGGTGAAAGATCAAGTTATTGAGACCATAGAATTATTTTTGTTGCTATCATTTCCTGGCCATTTGATATAGGAATGGAAAAACAGACTTAATTTTACCATTTCTTGCCCTGAAATGATTTATCTTTTGAAGAGACATCTATGTAGTCCTCTCTCTCTCTCTCTCTCTCTCTCTCTCTCTCTCTCTCTCTATATATATATATATATATATATAATATATCTAATCTAATAATAGACAAACATGGTAATTGACTGTACCTTTGCTACGCCTCACATTGGCTAATCAGCACGGTATGCAAATTAACTGCCAAAAAAGATGGCGGCTAATTTGCATACTGCAGGCAGGGCGGGTCAGCGCCATTCCACCTGCCCTGCCACCCTGGGCTGCTATCTGCTGCCCAGGGTGGCAGGCGTCCCGTGTGCGACCCAACCCAGGGTGGCCGGGTGGGGCAGCAGTGATCCGCCGGCCCGCCTGGGCGTCCCGTGTGCAATCTAACCCAGGGCAGCTGGGCGGGGCAGTGTGGCTCCTCTGTCACCCCAGCTTCCTCATCCCAGCTCCCATGGGGGCCTAAGCCTTTAGTCGGACACCCCCCGAGGGCTCCCTGGCTGCCAGAAGGATGTCTGACTGCAAGTTTAGGCCTGATCCCCCTGAGAGTGGGCCTAAGTCGACAGGTGGACATCCCCCAAGGGGTCCTGGACTGCAAATGGGCATGGGCGCAGGCTGGGCTGAGAAACCTCCCTGCCCCAAGTGCATAAATTTCTGTGCACCAGCCTCTAATATATATCTAGACCATTACAACCAAACAACTGGTCACTAAGACATGCACTGACCACCAGGGGGCAGATGCTCAATGCCAGAGTTGCCCCCTGGTGGTCAGTGCACTCCCACAGCCAACCTCCTGTGGTCAGCCAACCTCCTGTGGTCAGCCAACCTCCAGGGGTCCCTTCCTTCCCACCCGCCAGCCAGCCCTGATTGGCTCAGATTGCCGACCAAGCCAAGGGATGCCATCCATGCACGAATTTGTGCACCGGGACTCTATTTTCTCTCTCTCTCTCTCTCTGTCTCTCTCTCTCTCTCTCTATATATATATATATATATGTGTGTGTGTGTGTGTGTGTGTGTGTGTGTGTGTGTGTGTGTGTGTTTCTTATTGATAAGAAGAAAAACATTTTGGGGTAAAAAATGGTCTAGGAAAGACAGAGAATCCTGGAAAAGGATTAAAAAAATGTGTCTCTTTCTATACAACAAAACCATAATTCCAGACCATGAAAACAGACAACCAAGATGTTATTATTTGCTTTCCCAAAACTTTCATGCCGGGTGCCCTTTCAGAATTGAAACAGCCCTGTTTCGGATATGTGTTTGCACAATGCCACAAAGACATAAGTTGACGAATCTGATTCTGTTGATGAATTTTCCGATTAACAAATTTTGATTTGCACATCATCTTGCAGAGCATTTTCATTGTATAAAGAGAAACCTATCTAAAGAGATTGCCGTTACACATTTCCCGAGTGGCCGCTAATCACAGAAAACTCAAGGTAACGGCTGTCTAAGGAAGATGGACCTGTATTCCTCATGTGAAAAAAGGCCTGGGCTCATTAGTCCAGGACTGGCCAGGTGCTCCAAGGTTCTGACTTCTGTCTCAGCCTGTGACTTCCATATCACAATCCAGATGGCAGCTCTAGCGCCTGCCCCAGCGGTCACATCTGCATTCCAGCCAGCAGGGAAAAGAAAGGCACAAAAGGGAATGGCACTGCCTGAGGACACATCCCAAAGTTTCACACATCATTGCCATTTACATCTCATTAGCCATAATTTGGTCACATAGTTACATCCAACTGCAAGGGACACTGGGAATGTAGGGTGGGCATGTGCCTACCCAGAATTCTGTTTTCCAATGACAAAGTAGGGGTGAATAACCACTGGAGGACAAGTAGCAGCATTTGTCCTCCTTGCCTCCAGGCAAACATTGTCTGGACAATGTTCATGAGTGTGCTTCAAGAAAAAAATGTTCCGCAATTAAACATTTGAGGAAGATTGTTAATTATATTTCTTCCCTTGGAGAGTCACAATATCCACAACACACGAAATTTTGAGAAACCCAGCGACTGAGAAGCTGAACTAATTTCATTTAACTAAAGAATTAATAAATTGATCTGAGCATGGGACTTCACTTAAGGGGCACCGCTATGGGACAGGGTTCTATGGAATATCAGTTTGAGAAATGTTGCAAGGGACTAGGAGCCATAGAGGGTACGCAGGCATCTGGGTGGGAACAAAGGAAACTATAAGCAAAATGGAATGGAACTAAATAGCCCAGGTTTTTAGATTTGGGGGGATTGCCCTCCCTTTAAAATCTTCATAACAACAATTCAAGTCCCATTCTTCATTACTACTAGAATTCTAGTTATTTTCCCAATATGATTTAGGAGCTCTTTGAGAAGTGCTTTTATCTCTTATCCACAATGAATCCTCCAGACTTCCCCTCCGCTCATCCTGGCTTCCTCTCATCAGTGCTTCTCCATGGTGTGACACTGCTTCATGCTCCTCCCAGTCTGGATACTCTCCTGCACACTGAATACAGGCTATGGGCTATCACAGACTTTCTGAAAATTTTTAATTGCAAAAGAGAAAAAGAAATCTTACGGCTGATTTACATATTTACTACTCCTGGCAGCCATTAGCAGGACCTTCACCAGCACTTCCTTTCGAATTGTCCCTTTCTTTGGCCACTCTGACGTGGGTGTGCTCATTCTCCTTTTCATCTGCTTCATATCTCCTCTTTCTCAAGTGCTGGGCACGGAGAGACTGCGATCCTGCCACAGAGGGGGCCAGGGGCACTCTTCTTCTTCGGTTTGTTGTTCTACTTATTTATGCATCATTGGTTGCTTCTTGTATGTGCTCTGACTACGGATCAAACCCCCAACCTCGGTGTATTGGGACGACACTCTAACCAACTGAGCCACCAGCCAGGGCAAGGGGCGCTCTTCTTGAAGATGCACTTTCTGAGGGCTTTCCCCACAACGGAGGAAGCATGAATTGCCCTAATCCAAGAATGGGAATGAAGGAGGTTGCAGAGCATGTTGGCGAGGCCTAATGACCTCACCACCAGCCCGCAACTACTCCTTAGTCTGCCACTGCCTGGCTCCCCCAGATTAAAAAAAAAGAAGAAGAAGAAGACGTTTTCTAAGTGAAATACATCAGTCTTTAGCTATTAATTAAAAATTCAGAAACCTGAGCCTTACCCCAGACCTGGGGCGCGGAATCACACTCTGGGGCGAGGTCCTGGGATCTGCACTTATAACGAGTAGCCCACCTCTGGGGATTGTAAACTGAAGTTTAGGGATCACCACAATGGATGAGGCCTGAATTGGTAAACGGCGTAGTAATTTCTAAAGAGCTACACCCACCCCACAACGAAACGGACTTTTACGTTAATATACGGAACACTCAGTACCCTGCACGAAACCCTGCATGTGAGTGACTGTCCTGCTTCAGAGCTTCCACAAGGTAAAGGTAGGCACTTGCCCCATCTCTCGTGACTAAAGCAGCTCCTCAGAGTGCGCCCCCTCCCAACGCACAGGGCAAGGACCTTCCTCCCAAACACACCATTCATTGGAGAAGGAAGGATTGGTCTTTCTTAGTTCTAGTCCTTAATTATCTGTGTTCTCTGGCAATTCTGGAAACCAGTTCATAGGGGATCCTGGAGATGAGGGGAGTGATTTGGGTTCCATCAGAAAGAGAGTTTCCAAGGCCAGGCGGGGGGGGGGGGGGGGGGCGGGGGGGGGGGGGGGGGGGAAGTGACAATTTGTCTGTGGGTTGGGAGCAGGGCCCAGGCAGGGATGACTGGCAGTGACAAAGCGAAGCTAGGAACACCATGGATACAGGAAGGTCGTTTAAAGTGGAAGGTACTCTCCTCTTCCCTCCATCCTCTAACCCTTTCTTCTTGCTTCTCTATCACCCAGATGCCAACTTTTAGCACCATCTAAAGACCAAAAGTTTGGAAGTGCTTCTAGTGCTTCTGAGTTGGAATCTTTTCCCCTTCCCTATTCATTTTCACCAAGGAGCCCTCCCAAACTACTTTCGCTTCCTACTCTGCAGTGGAGAGCAGTCAGATGACCTCTCAAGTTTCTTTTTAACCTTGGAAGTGGGCCTTGCCCATGAGGAAATCTCTGCTGGTTCCCACAAACTCTTAGGCATCCAATGCAAGCCCGGGTGTCAAGAAATATCCCTAAGTCAGGGCAAAGGGCATGAAACTAACTCCTGCAGAAATCCTCCTTTAAATTAACCACTTCCATCTCTTCTTTGAAATTCCACAAGAAGCCCTCCTCCCTGCTTCCTGTACATGACTTAGTGTGAACAGTTACTCTGTGGGGCAGAAAAGGGTCTGTTTGGCTTTCTGCATGCGTG